GTAAGCTTCTGAACTTCCGCTTGGAGTTTGCGACCGCTCTTCTTGTACTCGCGGCGAGTCTCCACGGTTTGGCGAACGAAGCTCTTCATCCAGGTATGGCAGCGGAAGGACACGCAGCTGTGAGCGTCATAGACCCGAACGCCGAGGTGCTCCACGATGAACCTGAGGTACCGAAGGTCGACGGCTTCTTTCAGATGCAACCCCAAGTAAGGTACAAGCTTAGGCGTCGCCGAAACAACTTGACCGTCCTGGATGAGGGACTGGGTGTAAGGGCTGAGTTGCGACCTCGTCACCGACATCTTGCAAACGGGAGCCCAATCCACGCAAGAGTGGCGAAACCACGGCACATCGAAGCTCGCCTCGATCATGAAGCAAACCTCCTCATCGTCCCGTTCGTAGTCCACCCGCTCGAAGAGCGCGTTGAGGTAGCACAGCCTCTCCTTCTTGGACGCGGGCATCTCGACCCACTGACCGCCGTCGGTAGGCATCGGCTTCTCCATGATGGAAGGGTACATGCTGTTCACGTCGTAGAACAGAATCCACGACTGCTCTCGAGCGGGATCGAAGTCGGGCAACATGGGGTTGTTGGCCGCCGCAAACGGCTGAGCGATGTGCCCGAGGCCTCCTCTGATGTTCGCCTTGGTCAGCTCGTACACCCTCCGATCGGTCATGAGCCCGAGACCGAGATCCCGACGAGGACAGCACTTGCGTAGCATGGCGTCATGACTCGCCGATGCGTGCGTGATGTACTGACAGGGGTCGAGGTGGAAGTTGTCCCAAAACGTGTCTCGATACCGCTCCATCACATCTCCCAGTGCGAGGTCTGTGCGCAAATACGTGTCATGAAATGCGCCGAAGCTCTCGAAGTCGAAGAACTCGACGATCTGCTTGACGGTCTCGTATTTCTCCTCGGAGCACGCCTCGCCGGTGAGCGTGTTGTCGTAGGCCTCGCGAGGAAGCAAAGCCGGCCACGACCAGCAAGCCGGATCACAAAGAGCGTCAAACGGCATCGGGATCTTCTTGAGCAGCAACTCCCAAACCTTGGTCCGACGCTCGGACGCGCCCCGCTCCGCCTCCGCGAAGATGGGATGGCGCCGCGCCAGCAGGGGAAAGGCTTCGCTGGGATTCGAGCAGCTCGCCTTGCAGTCTTCGATCAAGGAGCTCAGGCTGGTCGGGAAAACGTTCAAGGAGTCGAGGAAGCGCAGAGGCCCGAAAGACAGCATCAAGCACTTCTCCCCGCTTTTCACCAGAGCGCCCAGCCTCATCTTGGAAAGATCGCAGCGCCACGGATCAAACCCGACGTCGTCCCCCTCGCCCTCGCCGTCATCGTCGCCGTCGGACTCCGCGGTCTCGGCGAGGAGCGCGGCGATGTAGTCCTCATGACACCCATAACCCTTCTCATGAGCCAGGAAGCGGAGCAGGTAGTGGAAGTCGTAGGAGGCGCCGTTGTGGAAGTAGCAGGGCAGGCTCGTCGGCAGGCGGATGAGCAAGTTGCACTTGTTGCAAGCCGCACTCAGGAACTTGCCCGTCCCATGTTCATGATGCGCCACTTTAGGATTCCCTTGCTCGAAGCCCCCGCCGCAGATCTCGCAGGTCTCGGCGTGGTTGAAGCGACGTTGGTCGGCCTGAGTCATACGGCAGGGCTTGTTTGTGCGCAGACGCCACTCTCGGTAGCGTTTGGCCAGCTCGAGAAGACTGCGGAGGAAGAGCTCCACGATGCCGAACTCGCCAGACTCCTCGGTCGCCCGCTCCAGCCGAAGTCGATGTAACGAGGGGACCTGGAAGCCGCAACGCCCGACCGCCATGTACGCAAAGGATGCGACTCGATCCTGCTTGGCTAGAACGCTCTGACCGGCAAGTTGCTGGGGCGCCTTGGTGTTGAAGGTCTCAAAGTCGGCGTAGCAAAGACAGGGATGCATGGCAGCTGAAGGGCCGGCCTTGTAGTGGAGCGTGGCGGCGCTTCTCTCCGGCATTAGCATCCTATCCACCTGGCGCTTGCCGGGATCCTCAGAACACACCCTCCCAGCCAAGTGTCGCCCGAGCGCTTCTTGGCTATTGAAGTTGCCCATGCAACGATGGCAACGGTTCCAGGAGTGGTGTGTGCTTGCCTGCTGACTCTCCGGAAACGAGAGACTGCGAGTGCTCGAAAGCTGGTTGAAGTCGTAGATGAGCACGTAGTGGTTGTCGTGATGCAGGAGTAGTATCGAACGCGCGGCCTGGGTTTCCAGCGAGGGGGAACGCACCGGCATGAGGAAGTGGAAGTCGTCGTTGACCCACGGCACTCGCGACCACTGGTACACAAAGATCTCCACCAAGCCAGCGTTCCCGAGCTCAAACTTCTCGATGTCCTCGAAGGCGACCGCGCTTTCTTCCGGGAGCATGCTGAAGTCGATGGCTTGCTCGTTGACATAAACACCGACAGGATCCGAAAGTCGCATCCTCTTGCTAGGGCGTCCGTTCGGGAGGTCGTAGAAAGGTCGCCCTCTGCACTCGGAGACCTTTTTGCGATACTCATTGCCCCAGTCGCGACAACCCAGGAGCTCGGCCATCACGCAGTAGCGGAAGCACTTGTTGTCGGCGTTCTTGGGGGACCAGAGCCCCTTCTTGCCGTGCTTCAAGAGCTCCGGCAACTCCTTCCAGCAGCCTCCGGCGAAGTTTGCGCCAGGAGCCGCAGGAAGCTGAGCGAGCTCCCGGCTCGGAGTCGTGTAGATCTGCATGTCGATGATGCCCTCGAACTTCTGGAGCGAGTTGTGGAACCTAGCATGCTCCAGGCGATCTTCGAGAGTCCTCTGAGCCATCGACACGATGTAGCGACGAAGCCTCTCGTCGGGGTTTGCGAGCGGCCGGACCAACGAGGGCACCGTGGCAATGCGGCGCTCGCTGTAGACAATCTCCCGCTCGCCGCTCTCCGGATCCACGATCTCCTCCGAAAGGCGCACGTGCATGACGATCTTCACCATGAACGGGAGCTGCACGGTCAGGAGGTCTTGCATCGACTCCTGCGCCAACCTCAGGCTCTCCACGCTCAAGTACTGTCCAGGCGGAGCGTCCAAGGAGATCTGGCGCAACCAGAAGGTGTTGCGCTGAGGATTCAAGCTTCGAACCCTGGCCGCAGCAGGTTGAGCCACAGCAGCTCGCGGCTCGTCGAGAGGCACCGCCCTCTGGCGGTTCATGAGCAGCAAGAAGGCTTCCGCCATGATTATTAAGAATGTTTCCTATGCGAATGACAAAATTACACGACTATCCGGCTTCGACTCAAGGTTCGCTGAAAGCATCGAGAACACCACTAGCTTGCGTCATCACAAATCGCTCGACAGTCATCCTGAAGAAAGCTTGGGTCGGCGCAAAGCGAACATGAAAGCAAGCGCGCCGCTCAGAGCTAAAGCACTCACTCGACAAGTCAATGGCGGCGCAGCAACGACGACAGAGGCCTGGATCTGACGATGGCATCGAAGAAGGTCGACGTAACACCTGCGCATCAGGGAATGCAGAGAACTCGCGAGGTGCTTAGCAGCAGCAGCTCCACAGCGAAACCGAAAGAAAGGCAAGCAGTCTGATTCATTCTCTTGGCGGATCGAGAGGATCACGGTCTGTAGCAGCGCGCCCGCTGTAAGGCGCCTTGCTAGTACTGTAGTCTTAGGCTCAAAGGACTCGCTTTCTAAGAAGTTTGACTAAGAACTGTTGTTTAAGCCTAAGGGCAAAGTCGGGTCTTACGCCTGTGCCAGCACGGCCCGAAAGACGACTCTCAAAAATGACGCGGCGAATCACGCCACAAGTCAACGCTGACTCAAACACTCGTAGGGATCCAGAGCCAGGCTGATCAAGCAATGACCCGACTAACGACTCCGAAAAAGCATCAGCCGAGCACGCACAGCTATGTACAAGAGCCTACAAAATTAAGAAGCTCAACCGCTGGCCTCGTCGCGTTGACCTCCGAATAGCTGGCTCACCCGACCGATCACGCTCGAGGAGGCTACCGGCTGCCGCGCCGTCTCCTTCGTCTCGCCCTCCGTACCAGCACCGTGCTTTTTCTTCTTCGAGCCTTCGCCCTTCGCGGCCTTCAGCTCGGCATTCACGATGTCCATCTCAGCCTTCTTCTTGGCCTTCTTCTCGCGAATCTCCTTCAGCACGACTTTCTTGGCCTCCGCCTTCTCCTTCGCCGCGGCTTTTTTCGCCTCCCGCGTCTCCTTGGCCTCCTCGCGCTTCCTCTGACGCTCCAGCTTCTCGTCTTTCTTACGCTGGCGCTCCGCCTCCTTCTCCGCCTTCTGCTCCTCGGTCTGTTTGCGCTTGCCCTTTCCGGCTTCGTTCTTGGGTTGGCCCTCGACGGTCTCCTCGCCATTGCCCGTCGCCTTCTTCTTCGCCGCTCTCTTGCGAGGATTCTGGATGGCATCCAGCAATCTGGCCTCCGTAGATGCGATCAAATCTCGCGTTTCCTGACCATCCGAACGGGTAGCCTGGATGCTGCGATCGGTCTCGGCAGTGTGATGCTCCATCAGCTCCTGCTGCCTTTCAAGCTCGGCACGCTTCTTCACGCCGAGGATATGGCCCCTGCGAGTCTTGTTGCTCTGGAGCTGCATGCGAATCTTGTAGGCCTTGCTCTTGGCTGACTCCGGCATGGCTGCAGGCTTTCAACAGCTACGAGGTCACCAATTTCGAGCTTCAAATCGCTTCATAACGAACCCCGGCTCGATAGCAGGACGACGCAACTTCACATCCTACCGCTCCTCCTACGCCTTGGCGCTAAAAAGGAGCAGGCCTTGAAGAAGTCGACGATCGCGGATGATAATGACCTGGGCGAAGGGACCAAACGCTCTAGTTACAAAGAAGATGCGGGAGGGAGACGTGTTCAAGGACTGACAACAAAGCCACATTTTCTGTCTTTTGCCGCCATCTCGACTATACGGGGGGAGGGCATCAAAACTGTCCAAGCGATGCCCTCGCGAGCCGCCTAGTCGCTCCGAGCATCCTGTACTTTGAGGCACGGAGATCGACAAGAGTTTCTACACATCAATCACTCTTCCATCGAGCTCCTGGCTCTCGCTCTCCAGCACATGCTGGAACCTAAAATTGTCTTGCACTTCCTCATGCGACGCCAAGGCCACGAAGAAGAGTCGTTCTTGGTAGAGGCTCAAGAACCTCCGGTTGCCTCGATCACGTAAGGCACGAAAGGCGTTTGCACAGCGCTTGAACGAATCCTCGCTGCTGCGCTGCACCGCGTACTTGCAATCCTCGACGGATGTCTCCTCGTTTAAATCTTCCTCGCGCGTGAACTCATCCATCTGTCTGAGCGTCACCGCCCCCTGGCATTCATCGATGAATGTCTCGTGGATTGCTAGCAGATGGTTTTTAATGTCCCTGATGTGTCCCTCAAGTTCGCCTTTCCAGTACTTGCAGAGACATCGCATGCGAATCACCTCTCTAGCGCTGTGGAAACAAACATGCCCTGCGCACCCATACTCCGACATGCGCAGCGCCACGCGACAAGCGACCACAAAGTTCACGTACTGTTCACGGACCTTCAAGTACGGACAATTGGAACAGTGCAAGAAGCCCAGCAAGTGGACGAGCACGTTATCGGGGAGATGTTGGAGCATGGCCGCAATGTTATCTAGCTTTCGCTCTTGAACCTATGAAGTCACTACGAGCACGGTGTCGGTATGAGAACTGTAGCTCTCGCCAAAACTGTGCATCAGCGCCCGCAGCACTCCTACACGGCACCTACCGTAAGCACTGCACTCCTACGCGGCGTTAACGCAGAAACTCGGGACGTGACGACAGCTCTGACGGCGAAGACCTGGTCGCAGGAGGGCCCGGGGTTCCCGGGACGAGGCGGGCTGCAGGGCACTCTAGTTACGGGCGGGGCGGGGGGAGCAGAAACAGGCACTCCTGCGCACGCAAACTTGCACGACACCCCACAAACCCTAAACCCTTCCAACACCAAAGCCCCGGCAAATCACTCCGAGTGAGAAGCTCCGCGGATCGATGAAGACGAGGACCTGGGCGGATGCGGGAAGTTGGGGAGGGCCTTACAGGGGAGAGGCGCGCTGGCAAAGCAGGGCAGTGAGAGGCAGCCTAGGGTAACCAAAAGGGTTAGGGAAGGGGGAAACCGAACACGGAAGCAACCCAAGCAAACTGAGGTCCCGACGCAAGCCCACCTACCCGCCCGACCGCCCGCAACTACCCCCCGCCCTACAAGCTTGAACCTGCGAGCGCGGAAACAAAAGAAATCAACGCTGGGATAGGGCGCAAGGCAGCTGGGTTCCAAGTTAGTTCGGGCTCGGGACTCCGGGGCACAAACAAGAGGCACTCAAGTTCAATCGGCCTTTTCAAAAACCTCGAGAACAGATACCGCTTGATCATAGCCAGAAGCCCGCGAGCTGTGAGAAGGAACCAAACCGCGGCTGCAAGTCGTCTACAAAAGATCTATCGCTCTCACAGCATGACTCAGTCCATGGAGTCCAGGCTGCCCAGACTTGATGCCGACGCCTTGGCTTCGTCGTCCTGCTTCTCGCCTTTCGCCTTGCGTTTGTTCTTCTTTTTCTTCTTCTTGGAGCCTTCGGCCTTGTCGTTCTCGCCTGCTGCAGCGTCGTCAGCCACCAGTGGCTCGGGGAGGCAATCACAGAAGGAAATCGGGAGCTGCATCACTCCATCGCCTGCAGAGTCCTCTGTCTTGGCCTTGCGATATGCCTCCTGACACTTGACGGCGAAGACGAGCTGCCTCAGAGATGAAGTTTCGAGACACCGAAAGACTACGAGACGTGGCAACTGCCGACACCAACTTACCCAGCCTTACTGTTGCCAAGAAACTCTTGCTGGTTGAGTGTGCTCCACCAGGCCCCATTGACTGCAACCTCCATCACCTGGTCGTCATACATCTCGATTGCCACCCGCGCATCCATGCTGTTCGCTCTCATGTCTACGTGTGCCGCCTCCGCGATGCCGTGCTGCCCGCTGTGCTGCCTGCTGTGCTGCCTGCTGCGTTGTGCCTCCTGTGCTGCCTGCTGCGTTGTGCGCGTCGTCTACCTTGAAAGAGCGAGCGCGGCACAAAGAAAGCTGGGCACAAGGACGCGGGAGGGGGAACCTACGGGTTAGGGCGGCAGGGCACTCACAGGGCAGACGGGGAGCAAAGCCTACCACCGGGCCGAAGGGGTTAGGGTGCCCTGAACCAAACCAACAACAACCCCGGCGAAAGTACTCTAGGAAAATGTTACTGCAAAAGTCGGCGAGCCTAGCTAGAATACCACTACAAATCAAAAAACAAAAAGGCATCAGTGAGCAAAGGCGAGCATCTGTGAGCATCCTAAACCCCCACGGATCAGGTCGACGGCGGCCACAGGCTCGCCGCGAATCGACACTGAGCGCACCCAGCCACGAAAACTTGAGCCAAACCTAGGGGACGTATCCACCGAAATCGCGCTCTCGCCACAGTTTGGTGTGAAACGGCCCGGCAAAGCCTTTTGGGCCATGCGCGGGCCTTCCCGAGGCTGGCTGTGTCGCTTTTGGCCGGCGGGCCCGGCAGGGTGTGTGAAACATAGGCAGGGCGCACCCCGAGAATCGGAGGCGCGGCGGTTCCGTGATGCTCGGCGATTCCGTGTGGCTGTGTTCGACCCATCCTAAACCCTCCCCGACCACGTTCCGGGGCTGGCCGGCACCGATTTGACAGGAAAGGCCCGATCCGGCCGAAATCGTGCTCAAACCCTAGGCGGGGCGCGCGCCGAAATCGGGCTCTCGCCGGCGCGTGGTCGGCTCGCAAAACGGCCGGCCGTCGGGGGCCGTCGGGGCGCACCCTCGCCGGGCGGCTTCAAAATCCCGAAAAATTGGGGTGCGGCATGGTGTTTTAGGGCCAATCCTGGTTTTCGCACAGAATCAGGCAGAGGCAAGATTCGAAAATGGACACCGCTCGCCGCTCGACTCCTTCAGCATGAGATCGGTAACTTCGACCAAGAGGCCACACTGCCCCGTCATCAGCCAGACCTGTCGGAGCTCGCACCTCACCTTGCACTCCCGTCCCGCAAGCTCACCGACTTCCTTGAGCACCTCGCCCTTCGGACCCCACACTCGCAACCTATCCCAGTCCATCTTGGTCTTCAGAAAAGCTTCGCTCCGAGCGTTCGTCTTCAAGCACGACAGGAATCGCTCCTTGACCTCCGACTCCCTCTGGGGCTTGCCGAAAAGCCTGGTATCCTTCTCCGCCAGACTCGCCAAGCTCCGCGCGAGGCGCTCCTCAACGTCGCGGAAGAAGGCTCTGGTGGCCTCGTCGGTTTCGAGACAGAGCGACACCCGTCGTGCGGTAGGATCTTTGAACCCGCTCGGGTGCCAGAGGATCTTGAGCCAGTCGGCAGACGTCCACTCGGTCGAACGCCCGCCTTTGCCCCGCAACGGGAAGAACTTCCCTCCCTGCTTGTTGAAAGACAGATCGCCGAGCTCAACTGCCAGGCCTGGCTTGCTGCTCATGCTTCTTTTTCTCTCCCGAATAAAAAAAAAGTCGTCCGCCGAACGAGCCGAGTCGCCCGTGACCTCGGGAGAGTGCCTCTGTGCGCTGATCGCACTGGTGGGCGTCATCGCGGCCATGTGGCTTTTGTCGTCGCCCTGGGAAAAACATGAGACTGCTGGAGTTGTTCTCCGGCACGAAGAGCATCGGCCGAGCCTTCGAGGCCCTTGGCTGGCAGGTTACGAGTCTCGACTCTGACCCTCAGAGCCAGCCAAGCTTGTGCTGCGACGTCCTCGAGTGGGACTACCGAGCCCGGCCACTTCGACCTCGTCTGGGCCAGCCCCGTGTGCACCGAGTTCTCTCGAGCAATGACTCGCCGACCCCGTCGGTTGGAGGAGGGCGACCGCCTGGTGCTCCGAACCGTCGAGATCATCGGCTACCTTCGCCCGCGGTGGTGGGCCATCGAAAACCCCAGGAGCGGACTGCTCAAGAGCCGCAGCTACATGAAAGGCCTCCCCTTCGATGACGTGACCTACTGCCAGTACGGCTATCGCTATCGGAAAGCGACCCGCATCTGGAACAATCTGCCCTGGCACCCCAGTCGACCCGTGTGCTGCAGGAGTCGCCGCTGCGAGGCCTTCAACAATGGTCGCCACGCCGAGACGGCGCAACGCCAGGGCGCCAAAGAACGAATCGGCCAGACTCGGGACCAACTTTACTCCATCCCGCCTCGGTTGTGCGAGGAGATCGCCGCGAGTGTAAATGTGCCTGTACCAATGCTACAAAGCACTGTGGAGTAAAAAGACATGGGCAAAATCAAAGTCTTCAATACGCCGGAGTATCAGGTAAAGCAGCCGCGCGACCCAATCGTCCCGCGCGTGCCGTGCACTGGCATGCTGCTCGGTCCCTCAAAGTCGGGCAAAACGGTGGCGCTGATCAGCTTGCTGCTGGACCAGTATCGCACGGCCAGCGGTGAATCCGTTTGGGAAAGGCTGTACTGTTTTTCGCCTTCGGTGTTTATTGATGATGCCTGGAAGCCCGTGATCAAGTTCATCGAGGAGAAGATGGGCGTTAACATGGAGCGCGAGAAGGTGCTTTTTGACACCTGGGACGAGGGGGCCCTGAGGACCATCATCGAGCAGCAGCGCAAACTTACGACAAAAACCAAGCAGCTTGGATACAAAAAGCTGTACGGCGTAGCCGTCATCGTGGATGACTTCTCAGACCAACCGGAGCTCCACAAGAAAAACGGCGAGGGAGCGCTGGACACCCTGCTGTGTCGGGGGAGGCACCTCCAAATCAGCACCATCCTGTCCTGCCAGAAGCTCCGCGTGGTGAGCAACTGCATCCGGGTCAACCTTCAATTCATGTGCATCTGGCGCCTCCGCAACGCCCTGGAGATTCAGGCCGTCATTGAAGAGCTCAGCGCTCTCCTGCCCAAGGAGGAGCTCCACGCCATGTACCAGGAAGCCACCCGCGAACCTTACTCGTTTTGGTTCATCTATTTCCTGAAGCCAAAAAGCGAGATGTTCTACAAGCGCTTCGAAGAACGCTTCGTGATCGAAAATGGGGACGATCCTGAGCCAAGTGGTGGGCAAGCTGCTGGGCAACGGCCCGATCTGCGACAGTGAGTGCCATCATGTGCAATGCTGCACGAGCACGCAGGGCGTCGTGGACCCGCGGCGGCTGCCCTACCCGGAGCGGGCCCGGCAGATCAGCAACGAGTCCGACAAGTCGACGGGCCGGAGTTTGTTCCGCCGTAGAAGGAAAATGAGCTGTACAGTGTACGTGGACTCCCGGAAGCGGACTGCTGGCGATGACTCCAGCTTCGAGTATGACCTGCAAGAGACCATTCATCTGCAGACAGGAGCCAAGCTCTCCGTGTTCAAGTTCAGGGTGGCCGACGCCTTCCTCTCCACGGATCGGGGACAGTACTTGTACTGGATCGATGAAGCGCTGCAAACCCTCAACTGGGCGGTGCTCCCCGTCGGCGCTTACACGGGGAGTCGCCTGGCCGCCTGGATCAGCAGCAACTACGCTTCCGCCACCTACGTCGAATCAACCAATGAAATAGACGTGGCAAGCGATGGAAATCGCCGCATACTCAACGATTACGAGATCCGGAGCCTCTTCCCGGGCACCGGTTCTTATCCCGCCGGCGCC